ATAAGGATTATGTTTAATTTTTTGGTCGGTGTTTACAAATTTATGGTAGTAAGTGATACTGTGTAAGAAATAAAGCTGTCTTATATCATACATTCGAACATCCGCGTATAATTTGTCAGTGGGATAAAGTTTCGGTTTTTTAGAATACTTTTTTGAAAAACATCTAATTATAGATATGTGAGGAACATGCAGCTCCCCATGCAAATATACCATATGTGAGATGAGGCTCAATCAGTGCATGGTATAATGTTCGAAGATGTTTTTCTGGCAATATATTCCCAAAGTATTTAATTTTGTAGGATACAAATCTAACTTTCTTTAAAATATAATTGACATGGATGTCCCATCGTAAGTGAGGATCCAAGACCACTCCAAGGTATTTCTATTAATTTGCATTTTTTGATCATTAATGTTGAAGGAGAAATTTGTGTAATTTGGCAGATGTCTAGCATAAGATCCAAATGGCAAAAAATGTGTTTTAGAATAGTTAATGTTTAATTTTCTACTGTTAAACCACCGAATAATTTTGGTAAAATCTTTTTCAATTACATTTTTCAGATCAGAAGAGTCAGTGCCTTCATATAATATTGCAGTATCATCTGCAAAACTGGTTATTTTGCCAACACAATTAATTTGGAAAATATCATTTAAATATATATTGAATAACAGTGGACCCAAAACAGTTCCTTGTGGGACACCACACTTAATATACATTTCTTTACTAAACGATCCTGATATCCGCACAGATTGTGGGCGATTTGACAAATAATTTTCGATCAGTGAGTACCCGTTTCCTCTGAAACCAATTCTCTCCAATGCTTCTAATAATAATTTGTGATTAACTGTGTCGAAAGCTTTCTTTAAATCAACAAAAATGCAGATTGAATGGATTCTGTTATTAATATTTTGATGTATTTGATTTACAATTTTAGTTATTGCGTCCGATGTAGCCTTCCCTTCTGTAAATCCATATTGATTTCTACTTAAAATTTTGATTTTTGTGAGGTATCGAATCATTCTAGTAGATAAAACTTTTTCAAAAACCTTTGCTAGACTGGATATTATCGATATTGGTCTATAGTTGTTAACATCTGTTTTTGTTCCTGATTTATGTATCGGTAGATATTATATTACCTTTTTTTAAAATTGAGAGATATATGCCAGACTCAAAGCATTTGTGGATTAGGTAAGTGAGTGGTTCTGTTATGTCCTCGGCTATAATTTTCAAATGCTCGCTTTTAATACCATCGAACCCAGGACTTTTTCGATTTTTTAAGGACATAACAGTGGTGTATACTTCACATTGCTCGACTTTATCCAAAATAAATGAGTTCAAAGATCTTTTTGGGGGCTGAGTATTGGGTACATTTGCTTGTATATTACTTGCTAAATTTTCGCCTGTCAGTAAAAAAATGTACAAATCCATCGCATATTTCTTTAGTATTTTTCAATACTGTTCCCAATGTTGTATTTAACTCAGTGACATACTCTTTAAATTTTGTTTTCCCAGTAATCTCATCAATAGTTGTCCAAAGCCGCTCATTTAAGTTATTATTCAATTTATTTAGGTAATGTTTTCGTTTGGTTTGCCTTGCAAGCTCTATAAATTTATTTTTATATTGGTTGTAGCAGTCGATATTCTCTGTAGTTGGCGTTAGTTTCATTACATTATAAAGTCTTTCTTTTTCTATTGCCGATGTTATTAATCCTTTGGTAATCCAGGCATTTCTGCTTTTCTCTTTGTGACTGATTATTACTTTATTGGTACTAATATCTTTTAGTTTTTTTATTTTCTCTATGAACAGTTCCGTTGCTTTTTCTATATTATTTATAGAGTATAATTGTTCCAGGATTCTTGTTTGACATTTGATAGTAGTTTTGAATTTTCGACAAAAGATTTGTAATTTTCCTGGTTGTTATTTACGGTAGGGATGTAAGAATGTTTTTCATTTGAAGATATCAGTAAAATAGTGGAGAAGTGGTCAGTAATATCGCTTTCTAGGATTATTGATATACAAGTCAAGGTCTTTCACAAAGCAGTGATCTATGCATGTGCCACTGATGGACCTTGTAGGTAGGTTTATATAGGACAGAAATCCGTTACTTGATAGGATATTCAAGTATTCATTTGTGATGGGATTATCGTCCAAAATATTTATATTGACATCTCCCAAGAAAATATGTTGCTTTAAAGGAACGTTATTTTCATTTTGAAAAAAATTCGATATTCTTTAAAAACTCGTGGGGTTCTGAACATGGCGGACGATAAATTGCAGAAACCTCAGTTTTCCAATGGTTAATTTGGATCATTATGTTTAAAATTTTGATTCCATCGGTGAAAGTGAATGTATCATGATCATATTGAAGTTTATTTCTTACAAAAACTACCACCCCATCGTTTTGGTTATAAGTGCCAAATTTATACAGCGTGTCATATCCCTGCTGATTGGAGCAAGAAATATCAACCACTTGCCACGTTTCAGTTAAAACTATTAGATCAAAATTATACCATACTTGGTCGAGTAGTATTTTTAAGTAACCAATGTTGTATTTTATACTCCTTATGTTCATATTAAAAATTTGCATCAGAATTTTGTGTACATAAATTAAGTTCATCGACGTTTTGTGCTATATTTGTTGCAATACTTGGAATTTGGAAATCATTAATGTATTTATTTACTGACATTTTCAGGTTCTCTTTAGAGATAGGAGTATCAAAAGATGAACTTGAATTTTAAAAAAGTATCCTTAAGCTTTGTTGTTCCTGATGATATTTGAACGATGGACAGTTTTTGTCGGTAGGTGAGTGGTTGATATTATATTTTTTTTATATCTTTCATTTCCATATCTACAGTTGCAGCATTCTATTGATACATGCAACAATGTTCTTCTTCGTGACCGTTGCCACAGTTGGCACATATCTTCTCATTCCGGCAATTCTTTTCTGTATGATTAAAACGGTAGCATTTTCTACACTGAGTTATTTTGATATACAGTCAAACATTGCCACCCCAGGAGTATTCTTCTATTATTTTTTTCGAAGATTTTTTCGAATAGCTTTCCAGAAGTTTCCGCGTAGATAGTGTAATTGTTTCTTGATGGAAAATATTTTATAAACTTGACTTGTGTGTCTCCACTCTGAATCATATAATTCTGATGTACAAGATCTTCAATTTGCTTTTCATTTGGTTTTTCACTACTTTTATAATTTATTATTTTAATTTTGGATTTAACATTTTCGGCTCAGTAACATGATATTTTTCATTCAATTTATTTTGAAGTTCATATTTCAGTTTATTATGATTTGATTCATCAATTTTTATATCAATTATGCCATTTTTTGAGTTTGTCACATTTTCTATTTGAATGTTCAGAGATGAAAGATTTATTCTCTCACTCAATTCACTTCTCGTATTATCGCAAGATTGTTTTTCTTTTGGAATAACTGTGATACATTTCAGCGATTGCCTTTTAGTAATAGGTATCGTTTGTTTTAAGATTTTTGCGTATGACTTTTCTTTTACTAACTGGTTTTTCTCAACTTCGTCGAGTCTCATGTTAATTCTATTTAATGCTGATGCTATGGCATCCTTCTCAGTAATACTTGCGGTTACTGACAGCTGCTGCTCTTTTAGTTTTAAATTTTCGTTATTGAGCTGACGAATTATTTCCTCCCCTTTCTGCTAGTGCTTTCTTCAGGGATCGAGTCCCTTCTAATATCTTTTTTACATTAGTCGAATCAGGTCGATTTTCTTCATCTGTGATGCAGTTTTTCTCATTCTCGGGCTTTTCTTGTTGTTCTTCTTCCTTCTTCTTTTTGCGGGTCACGACACTCTGTATAGTTATTTCTTATGTACTATGAATCAGGAAGAATAAACTGTCAACCTGTCAATTTTACGTCACTCCGAGGTTATATAAATATTGTCGAAAACGACTGAAAATTGTAAAATCCGCTGCACCAATGTATCCAGACCCGTATTTTATTCTTATAAATGGAAACTCTTCGCCAAAAGGTTATTTCATGGACTGTGTACCAACCAAATTCTTGACAAGGTAGGACGATATCGTTTGCTTGTTTACTTGGTTTGATCATAGACATTTCATAGTAGCAGAGTTTACCTACAAAATAACATCTACTACTTGAACATCTACTACGATTTACCTCTGCTTATTTATGATTATTATTGTCATTACTAAAATTTCTATTTCATGCTTAGGTTCCACTATACCTTTTTGAATCCATTATAATTTTTGTTCCAATAACAAATTCATGGTCAACTGAGGAAGAATATATCACTGAGTTTAGGACATAAAGCTCCATTTAAATATACAAAATTCCAATATAGCGTCCATATGAAATAACAAAGTTGCTAATGGAAGTCGAAAGAAGAAATGGCACACAATGGTAATTTACTTTGCAATCCTACTTCAAGTGAAGTCAGGAAAGATAAAAATGATTTAGCGATAAATCTGATATACAATACAAATGACTAATAATTTCAAGGCCTACCTTGGAATTTTTCTTCAAATATCTGAGGTTTAGCGATGTCAATGTATGACATAGTAAACATTTCAAAATCAGAATTAGAAGCTCTATTTACGTGTGTTAAAATCCATTATCAAACAAAGTAAGAAGAAAGTTTAAACGACTTTGTAAAATTCTGATTTTTCAGTCTCTTTCTGGAAGTACTTTCAACTTCCAAACTTTGCCAGCATTTTGTTAGATACCTAAACACGCAACTCTGTCCCCATTTAAGCAACTTCGTATCTGTTACTGTTTCCGAAATCCCAAAGGTGAGAGTCGAATTTGAAGCACCCGGTATAATCCATGAATATTCAATATGCAGCCGCCCACCCATCCCTTTCTTCAAATGCAACACAAACAGTTCAGTGTATTCGGTAAAACTAGGTGCCGATTCATGGGCTCATATAAAGAGATAACAATATGTATGAATGCATATACCTATCGAAATTACGATTCATATTGTTGTTTATGTTAGACTGCACGTGAGATGTTCGACAAGTGAAGAGAATACGCCATCTTTGCCTGAACACATCCAAACATACACAGAAGCTGATCCGGCAGACACGACAGATTAGTGGTACACTACAGAATAATGAAGGACAACTTGGAAAACCAGAGAGAGATCATCAGATTTTTCGCCTGCCTCCGCTCACTACAGATAATACTTTCGTAACTACTTTCTAGTACCACCTGTGGCAACGCCATCTGAAGAAAGCGATTCTAATCCGCAGTTATTTGAACTATACATATTTGCAATGGATTTCAAGCTAGATGTGTCTGAAATTATAATTCTTCAATATCATCACTTAAACATTGCCACTTGAACTGTAAATATTAGCGCTCTCGTTCAGTATCAGACGCTATCACTATCGCTTTCAACCGCAGGAGTTTCTGATCAACGAATTCAGACTAGGTAGAAGATTTGTTTGTCTCCAAAGCTCCAGTTTATAGTCAGGATGGAAGTGCCTACTACAAGTGAACTGTCTATCCCATAGTCACACAGCAGACCACAATAAAAAATACCTTTTAATGTCGTGAAACTATCATCTCGTCTTCGTTGCACATAATTATTTCATCTACGTTATATGCAGCTAATATTTTGAACAAGTCTTGCCTGATACTGATTAAAAACTTTTACACATACCAGACAGCTACCAAGTCGTGAAATTTCTACTACTATTCGTCATTATTCGTCAGAGCGGTCGGTTAGTTAAAAGTCTCGTCGGTCTGTTAGTCTGTCAAGTCTGGCTACCCAGATGCCAAACATGTTTAAGGGGAAAAGGGAAAGAAGGAAAGAAAGGAAGCAAGAAATCGAGCAAAGCAAAGAAGTAAATCATTTGAAATAGCTTAAGCATTATTGCTTTGACTACTTGAATTATTTTGTAGCTCCAAGAATAATTTTGATCGATTTTGTATACTGAAATAATTTTGGTTGGTCTGATTTTACAATTTAATTTTGATCACAGTGAGAGGCGCAGCCTGGAATGTTTGTGAACTTGCTCGACTGTGTAGTCTACTGAATCACGCAACAGAGGGATGCTGTGCGATTCGGCTTGATTATAACGCCACTGCCCCTGTTGTTTTACATAATCCCTTAGATATGGGATATCAAGATCTCTGTGAATGGTCTCATTTGACACGTACCAAGGGGTGTTAGTAATTGTGCGTAGGGTTCTGTTTTGCAGGACAAGCAGTCTCTGCATGTGCGTCTTGGAAAGAAAACACCAAGTCGCGCATGCGTATGTGATGGCGGGTCTTATGACCATTTTATACAACCGAATCTTGTTGATCAAAAATAATTTTGAATTTCTGCACAACAAAGGATAAAGCTGCCGAAAGGTAATTTGGAATTTCGTTTTCAAAATATCAGTATGTTTCTGCCAGGTCAACCCCTTGTCAATGATGACTCCAAGATACCTGCCAGATTCCTTCCTTGGTATACGAGTTCCATTCACTGATATCTCTGAGGGGGCACCGCGACGTTTTTTAGTACAATACCGTGTTGTTGACAACACAATGTTAATTTTGATCCGAAGCTTCGTCCCTTCTAGAAAAGATTTCAACAGTTTTAGTAGCCAAAATGGGAAACCCTTTTGGATGAGCTTGTAGAAGGGGCCCATCTGCCACACCTTGTCAAATGCCTTTGATACATCTAAAAGCATGATACCAGTACTTTGTGAACCCCCTGGTTACATGCTCCACCAGTCTAACTGCCTGTAGCTCCGTACTATGCTCAGACCGAAAGCCGAATTGCACGTCAGGAACCACATGGCGATCTGACGAGAAATTTTCAAGGTGACGATATATCACCTTTTCAGCGAGCTTAGAATAAGCTGACAGCATACTAATGGGACGGTAATCCGGAATATCGAACCTGACTTCTTTGGGATCATGATGACTTCAGCGATCTTCCACGCCTTAGGAAAGTAATCAGTTCCACTTCATCCTCAGTCCTGAAAACTATGCCTCTAGGACCATGAATATATGGTAGTTGTTCTTGCCTTCCGTTTCTGAGCGATTTTGCCACTTTCAAGAGAGGAATACTTGATTCAAGCATCCCCACCAGAAAGCCGCTCCACCGCTCATCGCAGAATTGATGGAGTACATTCCTCACTTCATGGACGAGATTCGTCGCTCTACAAATGTCATCAGGATGACAAGACCTTTTTGCTTGCTTAATCGCACCCCTCTTTTCAGAAATTTTTCGACCAATGTCGGCAGGGAGACGTGAAATTTTTGTTTTTGAACTTCACAGTTGTCCAGGTATTTTTGACATTCCAACTTTTTGTAACCAACAATAACGCTCTTGACATTTCAAACAATGATACCACTATGCATTTTTAATTCAGTTAGCTTTGGCCATCGATAACTTGAAAACTGTCCATAATCGATATTTGTGCCCACAGACTTCTACTTATGATGCCATAATATTCAATATACTGCAATTTCATCTAATTCCACTGTATTTCCTTTCCCGTATGTTTTGGGCCGTATTCTTTGTAGCAACAGATAGTGGTAGGTGCAGGCCAATAATTGCTATCTAGGATTAGACTATTATAAGCTTCCATAAGAACATCGCATCCTAGAAAAAGAGTGTAGTATATTAGCATTTTTGGGTGAATCACTAATGGAAGACGAACAATGTGGCTTACAGATAACAGGACGCCACTGCGTTATAGCTGACCAGCATCCTAAGGGTGAGTATTCTGTATGTACGCCTGGGAGCCATTATAAAATCTATCACGGATTGTCATCGGAAGGATTTTTCTATCTGTTCATGAGGTTATTAAATTTTTATTGTGTAGCCATGCGTGTGAAGAATATTTATGACAGCTTTTAGAGATGTAAATCGTTGTATAAAACTTGCATTTAGATGCGCTGAAATGTTGAAAGAGTAGTTGAGAGTATGTAAAGGCAAAACGAAAAAGTTTTGCTATCCCTGCCTCGGTAGGATATATTTTTAGTGAATCAGCTAAACTTATTAGTCTGGTTAACCTAGAAATAACTGAAGACTATTACAACTCTGTTACTAAAAACTGTCCCAGAGGCAATGTCTAGATATGGAATCCTCTAAACTGTTGTAATTATTTCAATTTCGTCTGATCTGATTTTTTTACTGTTTGAGACTATTAAAACTGGTGAAAGATTGTTCTGGCAGATTACTCCACATTTTGGATGTCTTTATAATCAAGAGCGGCCGTACCGGCCACTTCTTGATATACAATGCTCGACCTAGTTAATTCACAGTATCATGTCCAAAGTGACGTTTTGGAAGTCTTTGCAAGCCAGTGGATCAAAATTGTTGTGTGGAAAAGAAGGTCATGCGTGTGTATCCGGTACACTGTTGGAGCCAAAACTTGTCTCAGTTGACATCACGATGAATATCACTACAAACGAGAAAAAAGTCAACCGCTTATATGCAAAGTCACTCTGGGGGTAGCAATGACATAAAGTTTGGGAAACTACGGATTACCTCTTGCTAGAGCTGTCGGACTTCGGATTACCGAGGACTTGATTTGGCACGAATATCTCTCGTCAATCGCAGCAACTGCTGGAATATAGTTGAAAGATCTGTTGGAGTTGGAAGTACTTTTCTCCGCGTGAGCTCCTCACTATGTTTAAAACCCAGGTTACACCCAGTCTGAAGCTCCGACTGCACATCTTGATGCTGTTCAGAAGAGGGTTGTCCGATTAACCGGTGACACTTTGAGACCATCAACGGGTAGTTCGGTGATTTGTCTTTATTTTTCACGTAACTTTTTTCACCCAAGGTTTCTTCTAGGTACAGCACGTCAATTGTTGGAAGAGATATGAGGATTTTCTGGGATTGCGCACATGAGAGAGGGAGTACGCATTCGGAACAAAAGAGATGGCACGTACAATACGTGTCATTCGATCTCGAGCCTGCGTCTTAATTTAATCGAATAATTTCAATTATGGAATACGTATTATGTGAAGCCTGCTTATTTTAATCGAAATTGTTGCCATGTGTCAAATTTTTAAATATCTTTTTGTGAGCCCAATATTCTAAATTTGGTAACTTCATTAACGTTACAAGACTAAGTTCTAACATTGTCAGCGTTAGATCAACAATTCCACGAGCACGCGAACTTAAGCTATCTATTGCCTGTAGTATTTCATATGGCTCGATAACTCTTAGAAAAAATTTGTTCAATTGGTTGAGTTTATGTGCATTATAAAATTGGGTTTGAGAGTATATAATATACAATTAGAAAATCTATATCATGAGGATACCTTAAAATACAATTGTACGTCCATCAGAAGGATTCAAAAATTTACTAAAATACGAGCTTTCCAAAATTTGGTCGCTACGTTTTGTTCACTGACGAGTCCTGTTTTACAAAGGACGGTTATTTTAATAGCTGTAACAGTCACATTTGGGATGAAGAAAACCCTCATGCCATAGCCATCCATAGAGACCAACACCAGTTTTCAATTAACATCTGGTGCAGCATTGTAGACGAGCATATCATCGGGCCATATTTGCTTCCACCACGTTTGGATGGGCATGCTTATGGTCGATTCTTACAGCATGTGCTACCGGAACTATTAGAAAATGTGCCACTGAACATAAGAGCCAACATGTGGTTTCAACACGATGGCGCTCCAGCCCACTTTTCTTTACAAGTGCGGCAGTATTTGGACGATAAATTTCCAAATAGGTGGATAGGCCGAGGTGGCACTGTGCCTTGGCCTGCGCGGTCACCCGACCTGACCCCACTGGATTATTTTCTCTGGGGCCATCTGAGAGTACTAGTTTTTCAATATTTTTAAATTGCATAATATATTAGTTCTACGGAAATAATTTTATGTTTCCGCACCTGTTCGCTGCCGAAGAAATGTTAAAAATCGAATTTATGTGACTATTTATATAAATGAAATAAACATAGAAATGAGCGAGGCAATCCTCTATCAAAGTCGTCGAAATCAGACTTCAGAGTGGCTCTTCGTCTTTTTGTTTGGTGTCGAAAAAGGTGTCGAAGCACCTTCTTCAACAGATTTCATTTCGCGAGAAATCCTTCTAATGGCTGCACGCGCCTGAACTTTCTTCAAGTCTTTAAGAGGTTTATTTCCTTTTGCTTCTCGTTATACAGGGTGACTTTGAATTTGAGTCATTAATTTTCAGATAATGATTGTAGAAGGAAGATAAACCAAAATATGTGTGTAAAAATAAAAAAAAATTTAAAAAAAATGTTTACCTTGTTTTATAAAGTATCCTCCAGACAAGTATTTCAGTGCGGACCTGTATTTGATCGTGAGGTCTTGGAGCACCGGCATGCCGTCCATATGTGAGGTCTTAAGTCACCTGATTCACAAACCCGTTGTACTACATTAACAAAGGCACGAGGGGTTGGTTGCACTCGATTGGGAAACCGATCCGCATAAACATGTGCCATTTTTTATTTCGTTTGAGCCACGCAACAGACACCACTATTCACTACCGACTGACACTGACTGTATACAACTGAATGAAATAATTGCAAAAACATCGTTCCAAATTCTTTCGCTTTTTTGTTTCCGATGCGATGAACCGATAAGGCGGATTATATCCGTTGTCGCCAAACACGAGCACATAATATTATTATTGAGACAGTGCGGTACTCAAACTTCCAAAGGGCTATAACTTGTTACTTTAATTTTACCAGAAAAATGGTAAAGAAAAAAAACATTTCTTTTGATCAGATCTACTCACTGTTAAAATAAATGACTCAACTTCGAAGTCACCCTGTATAGAATATAACATTTGCTACAACCTCCCTAGTTTATCCTGGTAACACGTTACGTTGTAATTTGGATTTAAAATCCATCATAAACGAGTAAACCTCTTAGCATACCAAGGAATAAATGTGGACAATTATTAGCGTAAAATTGTATCTATTCAACCCACGAATTCTAACATTACGTACAATTCACAGATAATAAAGATAGTAAGTAAAGTTGTTTCACTGCCTGACAATTTTTCTCCTGATTGTAGGTTAACTAGTCAAGACACGACAAGAGGCTACTGCTTCGTCTGGCGTATTTACCCGCTAGCTACTGCGCACCGAGAAGGCGTGACATTATTCAAAAATTCTCATCTCTTCCTACACTTGAGCTGTATGCTGCCTCCATTATGATGAGCCTGCAAGACGAACCACCCGCATGACTTTCGCTACATATCCTTTGTCGATGTCGGTACACTGATAACTGACTGATAGCTTCTTTGTTCCTAGGTCGTTGAGATTTTCTTAACAATTTGCATGAGGACGAGTTGCCTAGTTCTGCTAACTTTAGTTCAAAAAAATAGGACATCAAACATTTCTCACATCGTTTTAGCGGTCGTGATGCCTAGTTTAGGTTTTTGCCTTCGCAGTTGCTTCAGTACGGAGAAAACAACACACATCTGAACTTCATCTAAATTATAATTTGACCGTATTATGCTTGTAGACTTATAATTTATAGCATATCGTTTGCGTCCTGTTTTTTTCTGTTTTCCATGGCCTTCTGTGTGGTTCTGTTCGTACCACCAAGAGGGATTTGTTTTACATATTTCTCGTTGATCGGGTTATTCCGCAGAACCTCATAAACGAGAGCAAAAACTTATTCTATCTTTTGCTCTTATTCGTGTTTTGATACGGTTGATCAATATAGCAAATACGTCGGATCTTACCTCCTACAGCATAACTGTATATAACTATAAATACTCACTACTAAGTACAACTTCAGTGAAAGTGTCAACAGAAGTCAGCTTAAGCCATCACCAATTAAAACTACCTATTAGGTAGAAATCATTCTTTTATTATTATTCTTCTATTTGAAATATTAAAAAAATATAAGCTTATTTTCACTGGTATTTACTGGATACCTTTAAGAATTTTAGTCAGCTGAAAAGCACGTATAAGAGTGCCATAAACAGTGCTTCTAGGAAGGGACCCCTACACTTATCTATTGAACTAGTGAAGATAGAGAGCTGAAATTCAGAGAACTGAAATTGACTCATAAATACAATGTTTTAACCTTACAGTCAGGGGCAGTTGCAAATTGCAAGATGGCGGTTGTGCGCTATTTGGGAACATTTTTTCAAATCGCGCTAAGGTAGAAAGATACGTCATTTTGCAGCTCCTTGTGGTTACTTGATAACCGTAGAATATAAAATCTGTATCTTTTAAAGTGGCAAAACGCTGTAGTATCTTATAATAATCTATAGTGTGTAGAAAAATATGGAACATTCCATCAAAAAGTTGTCAATATCCGTCCATTTTTCTAACTTATACCTTATTGCACATTCAAATAGACACTTTCAAGAGAAGAAGATTGATAGAACATTTGGATGACAAGTTGCTTACTACACATTATATATTATTATTACTAAGGGATTCAATGCATCACAAAAATTATCAACTATAACAGCCTTCCAGTCCGCCATTTTAAAACATAGTGCTGTAATCATAATATGTTTCAAATTGAAATATCACATTCCCCCATTCCATTTGAGCCGTTCAAAAAGTAGGGGGAGGGGGGCTTTCTGAGAAGCACTATATTAAATGGAATGTCTTCTAGCCGATAAAAAATCTAGATGAGAGCAGACTCCAGCTTCCAAGTTGCTTTCCAATAATTTTAGAAAAGAGTCTTAATTTGCAGGGACCTTCAGTAGAAAACGATATTTTACAAGTGAATGACGAAAGCACCATTGGTAGTTTAGATTATTTTGTATTAACGAATGTAATGCATCATGTAATAAAATATTCCACCTATTTAGGGGGTCCAAACTGAAATGAGCCTGCCTGCCCTTGAAATATACTATTTAATATCAATTTTAGTTCATACTTGAATCATCATTTCAAAAACCTCATCATCCACACAATTTCAATTTTTCGATAAAAAACGGAATAAGAACTTACTAATTGACAAACAGACCGGTTTTGAACTACTTATTTTGACTTAATATAGTCTTTGAATTTTAAAAGACTGATGTTCCAAACAATCTTCACAGTTTTCTGTCCATAATAATGAAAAAAGCTTATAAAACCATTCTGGACTTACGTACATTTGGCAGGAAATATGGTTCGTGGTATATAACTTAAGCAAAAGAATCGTATCAACCTTATAAGTTATTGCTTATTATTGCAAATTACACTTAAAATTGACTCAACATGCCACATGTTTAAAATTTGCATGTTTTAATATATTATAATATATAATAAATAAAACGAATTTGGATTATGGTATGGAGTTTTTGGAGTGACCCACCCAAGTACCCGCGGTCGAGTAGTGCGTGCATAATTCATATTAATCCCGGACTTATATAAGTGGACTTCGCGGCATTCTTCGAAGGAGAAGGAATGTATTGACTTAAGAAGTATATATGCATCTACCTACAACTTAAACGTTTTCAGTAAAGAAGAAACAAAGATAGACTTGAGACATAACCGATTCAGTTGTATTGTCTCTCTGTATCTTATCTACACACTTCTATCACTTCTATCTTCACATTGTGGTGATTTTAAACCCATTATCATAAAAAATGTCGAACGTCCACCATACCAATTATGCGCAAACTTCTTGCAGCTTCTGAAATGCTATCAACTAATGCTCCATTTGAGTGCTAAAAACATGGTGATGAATAGCGATAGGTCTGGGCTGTAAAATAATTTGTCTTGTTGCAGGTACAATGTCGGATGTAGCGATATCACCACCTTTGAAGAAAATAGATACAAAAAATATATCAACATCTCCTCGAAACATCTGCGTCTTTACTTTCTCCAGTGAACCCTCATGTGTTACGTGATGAAAGCTGCACAAAATTTTAGAAGCACTAACATTTACATTTACTTGAAAAAAAACGTTGTGCAAGCGCAGGGTGTACATGTTTCTCGCTCGCGTGCTTACTAGCAACATCTAGCACATCTACGCTATTGTTACATTCCGCAAACTTTCTTCTCCTCTAATACAGCCTTGCAAACGTCTCACGTCGCTGGCTTGCACTTAGTTCACAAAGGCTGCTTCTACGTGTCTAGGCATTTTGTTTTAAACGACTCATCATTTCGACTACATAATTTGTTTCATAGGAATGTGCCACATAACCTTATGCATCCTCTTTGATATTTCCAGGGGCATAATTATTACGGGCAACCAAAACGCTTTGGCTGGGCCCGCAGTTCTGAAAGCGTCTCAGAGACAGATAATTTGATCATTATAATGATAAATTTTCGGATTAAGACATTATATATATATATATATATATCACTTTGGATATAGGCCCTTCCAACCGTAGCTCAGTTATGTACATGAACCTTATATGCTACCCGTATACTTTGGGACACTCTGTGCAAGTAATATATGATAGAATAACAAAGAAAGGACTACATGCACTCTGGGTACCACACTGTGTTAGATGTCTATTAATCACTCAAGCTAATGGTACGACATCCAGAAGAATAAACTTTCTCTATGATCCCGAAGAGAATTATTAACACCGTGTCTAGGAAACTATAATTAAACTAAATTATACTAGTTGATGGGACGTCATGGAAGTGCATAGAGCATACTGAATAATGCAATAAGAAAGTGCATTTCTGTGAACTTTAAAAAAATCAACGAGTATGCTGTCTGCAAACCACCCATTTATCCAATATTGCAGACATTTGTTTGATATTAGTGGTTGCGCTTGTTGCATTTATTACCCCTCTCTAACTTGAAACATTCTCGAAATTTGGTTATGACTCAACACCTAGTACCAAGTATTTTCTTTAACATTTCATAACCTGCAACTAACAAACCTCTATCTACCAGGTTCGCACTTCTCTTGTTGTCACAAAAAACGTGTGGGCAGTCTGTTTAATAATCCAAGATGGACACCCATGTTCTATGGTGAATGCCACACGATCAGTATTTACTGTGATCCGTCAGTATTTATCACGGAATCTGATCGGTTCTTGTCTCTGATAGTGGGAAATTCCTTGTTGGAAGAACCGGCAGGAGTATTATGTAAAAACCTAAAAAAACGTCAAAAAAATTGACAAAATGTCATCTTGCAGACTAGGTAGTTTTGTGCAAATAGTTCATTTCACGTTTGCTCGCTGTGATCGCTGTTTGCTCACGTTTAAGCAGCATTTACAGCTACAAAACGAGTTCACATCAAGTATAAATACAAAACAGCTTGTGCTAAGTTAACATCTTGTAGAAAAACCTACGTTATGTCACAAAAAACCTACAAAATGTCAAAAAGATACGTGATATCCGTGCGGATATTTATTGACTGTGTAGCAAGGACGTCAGTAATCATTTATCTTTAAGGTTATATAGAAATTTACTGACGTTGACGGAGTCAACCATAAATACTGATGATTTGGACCGCAGTGAGTACTCTGATCTCTGACACTTGCCTGTGAGTATCTGGAAAAAAAAACAGTCTCATACAACTAGCCTCCAGAACCAGGCCATGCCCCCTAATCAAAAAACCTGGCTGCCTCATGAAATTTGCTCATTTAGCATAGTTTTGTGTATATGCACTTTTTAAGATTCGTCCCCCCCCCCCCCCTGAAAAAAATTGCTGTCCAAGTGTCCACCACTCTTAAAAAAATTTGGAGCTGATACATAATTGTAATATATAAACATATAATATCTGCAAAAAGAGCCTTCAAGCAGATGCGCCTGTGGTCGCAGCTGTATCCTCATTCGTGATAGATCTCTTTTCATTCGTTCGTTCCAAGTCTTCAAAAGTATAATATATGGAAAAGTCTGTGCGTGAAATATATCTACACACAAAAAAGAGTGATCCTGAGTGAAGAGTAATTACCTTGAGTTGAGGAAATCCTGACTTTGATATGTTTCTATGACATGTTACTTTCATTTCCTAAGATTCAAAGATCCAATGATCTTCAATTTAAGGAATTAGGCATTTAACAGAAGAAATTTGCTGTCCTCACATCAAGTGGCCGATGTATTTAAATCGAGTAAGCATCGCTCTTGTATATCAAAACTATGTCCTAGATTCAAGTAAAGGATTCCCTCATATAATGGATTACTACTTTGATTCAAGGAAGTCAAGTATTCCTATCAAGAGCTTAGAAAATTGATCCAAGAAAATGATGCTCACATATATCATAAGATTTATGTAGGGTAGGGTGCCCTAACTTTGCGCAGGAGGTAAGACTGCGCAGCTCCCATATTTCGAAAGCAAAATGACATTGTCGACTAACTTCTCTCGTGTTCTGGGCCGTTGCTGTGAGTGAGTGCGCTGTAGAAAAAACAAACCAAAAACCTATCAAAACCTAGTCGCAAGATAAGTTTGAAGTTAAATATCGATTCTGATGTTATTGTTTCTCAATTTCAAACTGTAATTATTATACATGAAAGCCTGAAGTACTATCAAAGATTTGACCAGTGTTTTCGTTTGCGTGATTTAACCTATACAGCCGGCGAGCGATATAATTTTTGATATTTTCAATAGATGGCGTTAGGAGTCACATAATTGTATATTGGGCTATTCCCTAAGACTGCGCAGAGTCACGGTCCGTAACACTACGCGCGCAGACTTACCCTACCATAACTTTTAATTTGATATAACAACCTTAAATATTCACTTTCAGAATGCCTAATCAAAGAAAAAGGTCGTCGGAACGTTCGCTGTGCCCTCAATATGTTTTAGAGGAAGCTAGAAGACAAATAGAAAATGGTGAAAGCAAAAGAAAAGTAGCATCGTCGTACGGGATGAAAGAAAGTACTTTGCGGTATCGCCTGAAGAGAAAAGAAGCTGCAACAAAGCTTGGTAGATATGATGCAACTCTTTCTCCCGAAATTGAACAGGAATTTTGTAATTATTTGGAAGATCTTGACAATATGTTTCAAGGGATGACTCCTAAGAATTTGAGGATTGCTGCTTACGAGTTTGTGGTGAAAAATAATATTCTTCATCGTTTCAATGCCGAAAAGAAAATGGCAGGCAAACACTGGCTTCGTGGATTTCTCAGTCGGCACCCAGATCTTTCACTAAGACGTCCAACTTCCACAAGTATTGCTAGGGCGATGGGATTTAATAAGCCAGGTTCTACAAAAATCTAGCAGAATTGATGGACAAGTATAAGTTTCCTCCAACTTCCATTTATAATATGGATGAAACTGGTCTGTCTACCGTACCCAACAATCCTCCAAGGGTCATATCAAAAAAAGGAAAGCGCGCTGTTAAAAAGATTTCTAGCGCTGAAAGAGGAACGAACGTAACCGTAGTGAATGCTATGAGTGCATCTGGACACTTCATTCCTCCCGCTTTCATATTCGGTCGCAAAAGGATGAAAGCAGAATTGCTGGATGGCGCACCACCAGCGTCTATTGGAATGGTCTCAGACACAAGTTATATTAATAGTGAACTTTTTTTAAACTGGCTAGGTCACTTTAAAGATCACACAAGACCAACTAAAGAACACCCTATCCTTCTGGTTCTTGACAATCATGTGTCACATTGTACAATAGGGGCTGTAGACTTTTATCGAGCGAATAACATAATAGCTCTAACCATACCTCCACACAGCAGCCACAAGGTGCAACCACTAGACAAAGGTTTTCATAGTGCGTTGAAGACTTATTTTGCGAGCGAATGTGAAAAATGGATGAGAAACCACCCTTGCAGAGCTATAACTGCTTTTCAGATGACGTCTTTATTCACTCCAGCGTTTAATAAAGCAGCTACAGTTGGTTGTGCTGCTGAATGTTTCAAGGTGTCCGGAATCTACCCATACAATCCAGATATCTTCACAGATGCAGATTTTCTTCCTAGTGCTGTGACCGAAAGAGAAATGGATGATAACCAATGTTCAGAATCACAACAGGCGAATCCTCAAGAAGCAACACCCCATGAACAGAGAGAACCAGTTATGGATAATGAGCCTCGTGCTTCTGTTTTCAACAAGAAGCCAAAAAAACCATAAACTCCTAGGAACGCTTTTACAGCAATTGAGAATGTTTCTCTAGTAACAGAAGCTCCAGCCGAACCAGTTGTGAGTTCTGAGTCAGGGCAAAAGAAAAACTTCGACGGTCCTCCAGCTGAAAAAAATGGTGGTATCTTCCAAGTTCCTGCACAGGTACCATCTTGCAGCAATGAATCGGCCCGCAATCAAAGTGAAACTCCAAGATATTTGCCCTATACCAAAATCAGGTATAAGAAAGACCGCAAACAAGCGAAAACATAAGAAATCTGAAATACTTAGTGGTTCTTCATATAAAGAACAGCTATTAGTAGAGAATCAGTTGAAGAAAACTCCTGAGAAAAAATGAAAAAAGTTTGCAGAAAGCCTTCTAAATATCCTAAAAAAAAGAAATGGGCATGCGGTGGCTGCAATGAGGAGTATAAAGAGCCGATTACAGAGGATTGGATCGGTTATTCTGTTTGTTCTGAATGGTGGCATGAGAAATGTACGGCCTACGTAGGCATTAGACAGTTTAAGTGCGATTTATGCGCTTAAGATACCTTATTCTGTTTTAGTTCCTACTTTTAAGTTTTTGTTATCTATGCGCAATCTTAACGATCTGAATGCGCAATATCCAGGGACCCGTAGTGGTAAGACTGCGCATTTACATCTTTGTCTTTTTTTTTTAATTACTAACAAAATTGTTATCAGATGTTTGAATAAAACTTAAATTAACAAAGTACATTAATGTGAGCCTAAATAGAAATTAAGATTATTACAATAGGTTATTGATTCACGATTCTACGGCTTATCAAACCTTAAGTGCGCAGACTTGGGGCACCCTACCCTACTTCATATACAGAACAGAGGGCATAGTTTTACTGTAGCCGCTAGAGGGCGCTCTCCACTATACCTGTAGTGTATTAAAATGACCGAAAAATTTTTCTTAGTGCAATTTTTTGCTTTTTGAATAAAAAAACTGATTCTTCGCACTTTTCAACATAAAAAAGCTCTCTTGTGAATTTTTGTTATAGTTAGCCGTTTATGAGATATTTCGATTTTTAAGGTTTGATGCATTTTTAATTATCTATGATAAAATACGTTAAAAAATCAGTATCTCGATAATTTTTAGAAGTAGGCTGTGCCTGCAAATATTTTTGAAATTGAAAGCAGAATAAGGTTAAACGTCAATTAGTTGACAGTTAGTTTTGTTCTCGGTTGAAACCTGAAACGTTTTTTTGCAATTGTGAATGCACGAAATTTAGTTTCTTTTACCTGTTTTTTTTTGTAAGTTTTATAAAAATGCCATTTTTATTCTCCAATCAAGAGTTAGCGGATATTCATTTTGTGTATGGCTTTGTAAATGGAAACGCAGCAGAAGCAGCCAGAGAATACGCACGAAGATTTCCAAACAGACGACATCCAAGTCGCTCAGTATTTGTAAGAGTGCATCGCCAAGTAATTGAAAATGGTTTTGGAAATCTCCAAGGGATCAAAACATAAATGTTCGTCAGCGCAGATTTACCCGTATGATTCTGCGTGAGTTTGATAGAGATCCGACCACAAGTGTTAGGAGAGTTTCTGGTGCCTTGGGAATTTCAGCAAGCCATGTTCACCGTGTTCTTAGAAATGACCATAGACGTCCTTACCATTTGCAACCTGTGCAAGGACTACAGCCAGGGGAGGGAGAACGAAGAATCACATTTTGTCAGTGGATTCTTGATAGAACTGATAATAATAGGGAGTTTTTAAGTAACGTTTTATGGACCGATGAGTCATGCTTCACTAGACGTGGAGTGGTAAATTTTCATAATCAACATATTTGGTCGCATGAAAATCCGCATGCAGTTCGGGAAAGAAATTTTCAGCATGAATTTAGTCTGAACGTGTGGATTGGTACCTTTTGCCTGCAAGGTTAAATGCTGCGACCTTCTTGGAATTTTTAAAGGCTAAACATGCAAATATGTGGGATGATGTTATGTTAGATTTAAGAAGATTGGCCTGGTTCCAGCTTGATGGTTGTCCAGCACATTATTCGAGAATAGTTAGAAACTGGCTGGACGAAAATTATCCAGAAAGATGGATCGGCCGTGGAGGACCAGTCGCCTGGCCTCCACGATCCCCTGACCTAAATCCATTAGATTTCTTTGTGTGGGGATTTCTAAAAGAAAAAGTGTACGAGACTCCCGTAACCACAAGAGATATGCTAATAGACAGAATCAGGAATGCATGTGATGAAATAAGGCCTTATTTGAATAATGCTATACCACGTTCGATCATTCGTAGATGTGAATTGTGTATTGAACAATTGGGTTTACATTTCGAGCAACTACTTTAGATTTTGTATGTTTGTCCTAACTATCCAATAGCATTTTAGTTGTAAATAATTAATTTAATTTGTTAAAAATAATATTGGAAAATTAAACAAATTAATATTTTTTTTGTGTTTATTTGGAGTTAGGAATTATTGCTGTGTTTAAAAACACAATCTAAACGATCATCTTAATTACTTGTAATGCCCAAATCGAAAATGTAAAAAAAATATTATTTTCCCATAAATAATTAAAAATGCATCGAACCTTAAAAATCGAAATATCTCAAAAACGGCTAACTATAACGAAAACTCACAAGAGAGCTTTTTTATGTTGAAAGGTGCGAAAAATCAGTTTTTTTATTCAAAAAGTAAAAAATTGCACTAAGAAAAAATTTTCGGTCATTTTAATACACTACAGGTACAGTATAGGGCGCCCTCTAGCGGCTACAGTAAAACTATGCCCATGGTTCGTTTTGTCGTACCAAAAAACCCTTGCATACCAATGTTCACTGTTATACATCAAATATTGTTCGAAATATTTAAAAAAAAAACTAGTTTAGAAAGTAAATTTAAACACCCTGTATTTCGGAAGCCAGGCATTTTTCGACCCATGTTTATATATACTTTATGCATTAATTTTAAAAGTTCTATCGAATCTTAAAGTTATGCAACAATAAATTAAAACACCCTGTATATAACTAGGTAAATGTTAATAGAGTTCTATCAATTTTAAATAGCGCATATGTAGGTAAACATAAACATTATGATTATTTGATCTTTAGCCCAATTGTTAAATGAGGGTAATTTAACCGTTTACGGATCCGGATTGCGAAAACTGTATGATAAAAAATTGAAAATAGCTCTCCACCTTCCCCATAGCGAACAAGGCAGCTTAGGTATATAATACATGGGTACCTTCAGTTCAATTGGCATATCTATAGTAACCCGATGTCCACGGAAGTTTTGAACATCATTTACAGAACACAGGGTTTTATATCATGTTACCAATGTATTTGATTTGAAAAGCAAGTATCTCTCTTCAAGTAAATGATATACTTAGATTAATAGATTCCAGGTACTTGGTTTGATACGATGGATATCTAGGATGAAATATACATGGTGCCTCAAAATTCTTCCTACGGCCTTGTTTGCCTGTGAGGAAGCTTTGAAGTTTAAAAACCGAGCTGAATTATTCTTAATGGCTGAAACACACTTTGTTCGATTTTAGTGTAGTATGTATATACAATATTATACTCGTATTATTAATATTATATATAACTAGGTAAATGTTAATAGAGTTCTATCATATTTTAAATACCGCATATGTAGGTAAATATAAACATTATGATTATTTGATCTTTAGCCCAATTGTCAAATGAGGGTAATTTAACCGTTTACGGATCCGGATTGCCAAAACTGTATACTAAAAAATTGAAAATAGCTCTCCACCTTCCCCACAGACGAACAAGGCAGCTTAGGGTATATATATAGGGTACCTTCAGTTCAATTGGTATATCTATAGTAACCCGATGTCCACGGAAGTTTTGAGCATCATGCACAGAACTGCAAAAAACATTTCAAAGTCAAGTTCAATTTCAGCAACTTCATGTGCGGTAGACAAAAATAGTTATTTCTCAAATGTAATTATAGTACGAGTAAAGAAAAAAATAATGTTTGAGTTAGATGAGCAGGTCAATCTCTTTCTGGATTGTTTTAATAAAATGTATCATGGATCAGAAAGTTATTATTAAGATACCTAAAAGAGAATATTCGATAACTTTTTACGCCAGGTTTTTTAGAATATCAATTTGACAATGGAGGGAGTGGGGAGTTCGAAGAAAGTGAACATAATGATTTTATGTATGTCACATATTTATTTTCATATAAACATCACATTACATTAAATCAACGTCAATGGTGCAACGCAGGTAATGGACTCACATAAATATCCAAAATAATTTCGTCTGTATGTAGATTAATCTTATACACAGATTTTTGTATCAGAGTATAATCAGAGTATACATATGTATATAGGTTATGTTATCGTCAGTAACAATATAATTCCTTTCTATGTTCGATAGATCTGGTCCTACCACTATTAAATAAGGCTGAACCGTGGCTTTTCTTTTTGCAGCCCCTCTTACTTTTTTAGCAACAATAGTGTTAGTCTCATCGGGAACCTATAAAACAATATTTCCATATTATAAAAAATCATAAATGTAAGTTTCGAAACTATTGCATACTATAGACATATTTTATTCCATAAATTTTGAGATCAGGTTTGAAAAATCTAAAGATGTATTTTCCATTTCTTTTCAATGTCAACCAAAACGTGATAATTTTTAAAACTGTTTATAATATGCCCGTAGTAAAAACTGTTCCAAACATAATCTCAGCTTAAGATGTACCAGCATTCCCTCTAGGCCATCTGGTGTCGAGAATTTCCACCACTTGTGGCCAGCCTTGACTTTTCCAGTTGGTGGTATCAAATAATTTAACAGCTTCAGCTGTGCAGGAAGTCTGCTATCTTGAAAATTCGAATTTGATTGTACCAATTTGAAAGCTGAATATATATATATTATTCAGATATTTATATTAACAAAAAAATGTACCTTGCATCGAAGAAGTTTCTTCTAACAACTGTGGGATCCCTTGAAGAAGTCCCCCTCAACTGAGGTATAAGCTAAGAGCTTTGTCAGGAAATAGTACCTCAAAATCCAGGTTAATCTGCAATAAATATGTTAGATGTAACTTGTTAAAGTAATGAAATTGGCAGAAAATAGAAACGAGAAAATTATAATGATAACAATCTAGTCAGAGATACCAGCAGAATGATCTGATTATTTTTCGAAATGTGGGATATTTTTTACCAAAACTTCTCCCCGAAGATATTGAAAAATAATACGCCAGTCTTGTAGAAATTGCTTCACTGTTTTTCTATGGCAATCCCGCATGGGTCTTCCTAAATTTTTCCATGACCTCACTCCATGTCTCCATGTTGTGTTTTAACCACAAAACCATCTCACTAATTAGAGAATATGTAAAACAGTTTGAAATGTATTCTTGCTAGATCGTAGTTCACAATATCACTAAAACTCTCTGCCATTCGAGCTCAGCTATTTTAAATGAAAGTTGCCAGCAGCTCTGACTCTATATATACTGTTTTTCAGAATAACTGTGGCATGGAAGGGCTACAGCAAATTATTTGAGAAGCTGTACCTATACTTAAATATAAATTATCGAAAAAACAGTGATATGAAGAAAACATGGTACAAGAAACTTTTGAGTAGCTGCCGACTTTCATTTGAAATGATCAAGAAAGGAAAATTAGAAAATCTGCGAATTTCATAATCATTCATATCTCAATCGCTTTCTCAGACATCACAAAGTATGTCCCAACAATTTTTTTAGTTTTTCACGGGACAATAAATAATTTATAAAACCCGGATCGAGCCACGTGGAAGAATCGGTGACATCGCGTTATGAGTACGACCATCACCGGCCTATGTAATTATGTTATCCATATTCATTATGAAAGTCATAAACTCATATTATGATTACTTACCTTCGAACTCTTCAATAATTAATATCGTCTCCCGTTCCTCATTTTTCTAATAAGGTTTCAATAACATCCATGGTTTTGAACAAAACTGACACAAAACTAAAAAACACTAAAAATATGCAAAGGCAAAGTAACGCTCCAATTCGAGAACTGCCTGGCCCGTCACTGGTCGCATGCCTGTCGATTCTTGCAAATTTGTAAGGCCAACATTAACATGGCCAGGCGGCATTGTCAGTTGCTCTATTTAAATTATCCGAAAATAATGATATTAGGATTTTATACATGTTATAATGTATGAGTATGTCTTTAAGATGTACATGTGATTAAGTTATTCAAACTAAATTTTTATGATGGATAATTAAAAATCAAATCATAGAAAGCTGAAAAGTGGCTCAAGCAAGAGTCTTCATAATTTGTAAACATATTTGTGTACGAGTTTGCAACCGGCTGTAATGGTATAATGGGTAATTTATTTTCCAAAGATAAATTAGGAGTTTTTATCTTTTCTTACGATTGTTGTTCATGGTGTTAATATTTTTGAAGACAGATTTACTAAAAATCAATATTTAGTAGCTATAATATCTAAGTAGTGGATCTGGTAACGTGCTGGTGTGACCAACAGAATCAGTTCCTCTATAGAAGGTCATCAGTAGCTTGTTTGGAGATATCCAACGTCTTATTGTTCCAAGGAAATATATGATAATGTGAAGAACATAATAAACTTGTTTTAAATAACTCAAGAAGGTTTGATCTGATAACATGAAGATCTTGATACAAATCTAAAAAAATTTAGGAATAGAGCAGTTTCTTTGTTTTTAGTGCACATTACAAAGAAATATATTTCTCAACCGGAGGAATCCTTTTTCCTTGACTCAAAGAAATCACCTCATTCCAAATACGTGTGACCTTAAATCAAGTCCATATTTTTAAGAGAATTTCTTCACTGCAACCAAGATCTCTTTTTTGTGTGTAATAGATGCGCAAAGGCACCGGTATAAATACACTACCGTCAAGAAAAGGAGGTGCACCTTTCCCCCTATAACCTCCCCATAACTCCATCCGTCCTTCCTCCCACAATTACTTATTCATCAAATGTTTACCAAAAATAAACAATAAGTACCTCCTGAAACATGAAAAAATGAAGTTTGTGCGGTTTTTATTTGTTTCCGCTTTAAGCCTGTAGCTGCGCCGCTACTGGACCTAGTTTGAAAAACATAAAATACTTTTTGTCCTTGGCATAGCAGTAACTTGGTAACAGAATTTCTTCAAAATCCGATCACTACTTTCCAAGTTATAGGGGAGTCTAGGGTTATCGGACAGACAGGCAGACCGACGAAAATGAGTGACATGGTTTTTCGTGATCTACATGTTATGCAACTTCCAAAAAACGTAATATCCCATGTTCAAGCTTCTCTGCGATGTATGTGAAAAAAACTAAGTCAGCTATTGAAGATAAAGTTATGGCAAAGTGTTTCTCCTGCCAACACTGAGAGAAGAACCAATTTCCGTTGTGTCCTCTTCGATTATCTCCCCTGTCGTCTTTTGCCGTGCACATGCCTAAAGTCGGCAGGAAGAGAGACCAGACTGACTGACGCACAGTAAGCATGTTTCACTTAGTACTGTCAACTGTGTCACCTTTTGCCCTAAATAACATCAGATGAAAATACTCTCAATAACAGTTCCTTAAAATGATCCGCGATAGTATTTCTTGCGCTCAAGTGCGAAATAGGGCAGAACAATCCCGACTGACGACATTTCTACATAAAATGGAGAGGCAAAAAAAAGAGGAGATGCGTGAGTTAAGCTGCAAGAGGAAGCAATTTAGGTCTAGTTTTTCAAAGTTGAATCTTCCTAGCCAGTACTCCAGCCAATACTCTAAAGAGGTAATACACACATAAGGATCAGATAACTAAAGGAAGTTACTATAGCTATCACCTTGAAACATGAAACGAACTAGATGCAGGAATTTTTGGACTATGAAGATTAACCCAAACGTTGTCTGAACGGATACCTCTTAAAATTCTTAAAAACACTTTTTGATACTCAAAAAATTGCTGGCAACACAAAAACGTAAAAGTGTAGAAATGTAGCTTGATCTTTTGCGCTTACAAGAATACAAAACCACTCGAATCAAACACTTTCACAATGATGGTATTTCGTCCCCATAGTGTGGAAATAAAACTTGAGTAGTTCGATATAATTTTCGTAGCCAATACAGTTTTTGCGAAATAGGGTGCTTTTAGCTTTAGCCAACTTGAAGTGGTCCAACAGTGCACACTTTCATGCTGGATAACAGTAGCCATGGAATACATATATTTGACAGTTCGTAACATTAACGCGACAGTGTCGCTGAATCATGCTCAACAAACGAGTGTCACTATCTGACCTCACTGTCAAACATTGTTGGGTGAGCCTGACATGCAACTGAAGTCGCGTGCATAAATGGACATCTATTCAACAAATCATTTATTTATTTAGGACTTTCGTTTGAATATCGCGCCTTCCTTCTATATTCCGAATCAATCTGATTTATGCTTTCTGCTATGGCAACATTGTAACCCCATTGGGTTGTTGACGTTTAAGTTAACACCGCATGAATGTCACTTTTCCTATATTGCTCTATGATTTTTGAGTTCTGAGACGAGATGTCAATTATGTTTTGTGGTTATGACGTGTGGTGTTTCATTTTGTGGAATTTGAAAACTAAATCCTGAAATAGAGCTCCTACCCGTAATTTCATTCCCTTTTTATCAGCCCCTACATTTAGTTATTTATTTATTTAAATCCCGAATTTTACATAGGGAATTGGCATTATCAACGTAAAGTAGACAACTTACACTCAACGTATCAGATATGTCATCTATGAATAAGAGAAAAAGGATCCAAGTACAGAGCCTTGTGGTACACCAGAGCTCGTCAAAGATGCATTCGACTTAGAGTCAATATACGTTTACGGGTATTTCTCAACAAATTTAGAAATTTCATTTTGCATTTCTTAAAAAAAAAGAAAATATATCCTTTTTTTGCAGAAATATAAAGTTTCACTTTAGTGAGGTTGATTGAAAATGAAGGGCCTCCATATTTTTGTGTATAACATGTAAAAAAATGACTTTTAAAAAACTATTAGATGAGGGAATGACTGATAGGATGGGGGAATGATTTTTACAACAATTTGATGCTGAAGTTCAATAAAAAACATAAGTTAATTTATTAATAGATATCTTTTGTACTAATTGCAGCTTCAAGATTTTGTAATATTTTTTCTTTTCTTCATGTTTACTTCCAAGATCTTCATATATATTCTTGAGGTCCTTTGACAGTGCTTCTCCGAAAATGAGCTTTTTTCTTTCAACGTCAGGAACTTTTATATTCTTTAAAAGGGAAGACACTTTAGTTGCTGGAGAGTTTGGGTAAGTATTTTTAGTTTTCAATCTCAAACACCTCTTCTTATATTTTTCGCTAAGCTTGACTGCGTTCCTTACTTTAATTGGCAAACTTTTAAGCTTCGCGTACAGAATAGTTCCCCGCTTGCGCATTCTACGTCTATTTAGAGCAGACAAATTCTCTGCTCTGTGCTGTAAAGATGGTCCAGGACGTGGTGGGGGTGTTTCTTTAACTGTTCTCTGTAAATTTGTTAGTAATGTAACTCGCTTTTCCCTATAAACTTTACTATTCTTTTTCCATTGTTTTCGTTTTTGACTAGTTTTTCTTGCACTCATAGAACTTATTGACTTAACTTGACTTCTTCTTTAAATACTTTAATCTTTCTTTTTCACGCAAATCTTCTAAAGACTCAACATTAATTTTCATTTGTTCTCGCCTCTTTCTGTCGTAATCCTGCTTTTTTAATTTCTTTTCTTCTTCACTCAACTTCTTCATTTCCCCATTCTTGATGTACGGATATCTGCTAGAATAGAAAACACATGCTATACAACCAGGAGTTAAACAATAACGCCCAAACCACAATTTTATAGATGCAAAAATCATTCCGTCGTATAATTTTCATTGCCTCACTTTCTAATCTAGTCGGAGAATGACTGTGAGGGAATGACGGATTTGCATAAACGACACCGTATCCAACAGTTCATCACCTCAAATTGATTTAGCATTTTTTGAATGCATTTTACTCCTCAAAACAAGAAAAAATCATTAAAACATTCGAACAGTATAATGACTTACCTTTTAATATAAATAGTGAGGTAATGACACAGATAAATGTAATGTTCTAATTATTGAAATCCAATACTTTTTTGCAGCAACTCTTTTCACTATTAAGAAATTCCGCCATGTTGACATTTTTAGCCAAGTTTTAAAAACATAACAGCTGCGTTCAAAAATATCAAATGGTGTGACCACAAATCGAATATTTATGATGGGTGAGGGGATGATTCCATTTCAAGGGACATAGCTTAAATAAATAATAAATTTATTTTTTAGCAATAGAAGCTTGACTATAAAATCCATACTTATTACCAAATATTTTGGTAATATTAATTTATAAGAATATGAACAGATTTGATTATACAGGGTGGTGCATCGAAAACGAAACAGACGCATTTACTGGCAGCTCAGTTTTTTTTTGAAAAACGCTCAGACCCGTCGATTTTGTTTTCGAGGGAGACACAAGTTTGGCAAAAAATCACGTTAGCACGTGTAGCTCCCTAAGCGGGGATGACGCCACCCCCAAAATCTTAAATGAAAAGGGGGTCGAGTGATACTTTATTTTAAAGGTCTTTGAATTCCCTTTATAATGATATAAAATTAATGTACTTCAGTTCAGTAGTTTTGAAGATTTATGGATTTAAAGCTTAAATAAAACTAATACATCATCATTAGTGGAGATCAATATATGTATTTGGCAGCAAAGTAATTAAAAAATGATGAATGAACTGACCCGTTAGGCAAGTAAATGTTGAAAATGGCCACCATGACTCGCCATGCAATAATAAAGATTTTGCTCAAAACGTTGCAGCACATTTTGCAATATTTGAGGAGTAATTTGAAGGCACTCGTTCACAATTCTTTGTCGCAGGTCTAATGATGTTGGCTGAGTAGCACAGATTTTGCTTTTTAAATGACCCCACATAAAAAAAACTAAAGGTGATAAATCTGGCGATCTTGGGGGCCATTCAATGGTACCTCTTCTACCTATCCATCGATCTGGAAACGTCTGATCTAAATATTGTCGAACACGTAATGCGTAATGTGATGGGGCACCATCCTGTTGGAACATCAACCTATTCGCAATATACCGCCGATCATTCTGATTTTCAATTATGGCTGTTAATGCAGGATCTATGGCGTCTTCCAGTAATTCCAAATACATTTCACCGGTCAAATTTCCAGGTAAGAAAAAAGGACCAACTAAATGATCGCCAAAAATACCAGCCCAAACATTTAATTTTTGTGGCTGCTGTGTATGAACCTCATGATAAATTCTGGGATTAGAATCGGACCAATATCGGCAGTTATGACCATTTACTACGCCATTTAAGAAAAAGGAACATTCGTCGGAAAAGCAAGTGTTGAATAGAAAATGTTCATCATTTATAATTCGTTCACTCATATCTTCACAAAATTGTAATAGCCGATGAAAATCGTCTTCAATAAGTTCTTGCACCAGGTGAATTTCATACGGACGAAAACTATGGGCCTTTAGAATCCGTTGGACAGTACGTCGACTAACACCACATACAGTCTCCAATTTGCGGGTACTTAATGTAGGATCTACATAAACTTGCCCTAAAACCCCCACTTCTATTGCCTCGTTCCTTATGGGATTTTCAATGTTGCGTTTTTTATTGGCGACTGACCCAGTTTCCCTAAATTTAGCTACAAGTTCTAGAACATATTTTTGATGCACGTTACTGTTCTCATGTCGCTCATTAAATATTTCTGCTGTCCTATTAGCGCACTGATTATACTAAGTGACATATAAATCCGAACACCCAGTTTAAATGGTTTTATTTTAATAAAATTTTGTATAAGTACTTAACGAAGCATAATAAGGAAATGATCAAAATTTCAAAATGATTGCACTGCTTTAAAGCCCTTTGACCTTTAATAATGTGTGGATGCACCCTGATGTGCTACGCATTCTCCAACGCGCCTAGGCATGCTTCTGATAAGGTGGTCAATGTCCTCCTGTCGTATCTCACTCCAGGCAACCACCAACTCCTCTCGAAGTGCTTCTAGAGTCTGAGAAGGACGTTGCAAATTGAGCAATCTCCTACCCATCATATCCCACACAATGTGACATCATTATGTTGAAAGAAGTCTATTGTGACTCTTGCAACATGTGGTCGGGCATTATCTTGTTGGAAAGTTGGATCTGCCAGGGTGTCAAGATAGGGTAAAAGATGGGGTTCTAGAACTTCGTGGATATAACGCTGCGCATTCATGTTACCTCTGATGAAGATTAAAGGTGACCTGGAACCATAAGCTATAGCACCCCAAACCATAACTCCAACAGTGTGATGAACATGTCTTTCAACAAAAAACTGTGGATTCCTCCTTTCACCACGTCGCCTTCTAACCCTGGCACGACCATCGTGCATGCCTAAACAAAATCGAGACTCGTCACTAAAGACAATACTGTTCCATTCCTGAAACACTTCGCATGCCAATAGGTCTTCCGTGTTCTGCAAACCATTCATTTGCAATGGACCTGGTAGTGGAGAAACGGTCCCTTAAGGCCAATAATCTTAGGCGGCGATCTTCACGGTATGTTGTTCTACGGCGGCGTCCAGTGCCCCTTGCTCTTTGCGTACGGCATTCTCGAAGCCATGCCTGACAACACCTAACCACAGTGTCTACACTTCTTTGCACTCTAACTGCAATTGCCCGAAAAGAAAGTCCAGCTTCCCGAAGTCCCACTATACGG